GCTAAGACTGCTGTAAAGGGCTATTCAAGGTCACAGGACCTATTTAAACACAGAAAGACCAAGACTGATCTAAAACATTTCAAAATGACACCACTTGTGATAGATGATATATGATAGATAGGTAACAAATAACTAGGCTTGCAGAGAGGGTAATCAGGGCTGACCTTCCATCCGTCCAGTACTTGTACTGGTATCTGGTAAGCAGCTTACATATTTGCAGATCCCACACATTCTAGACAAAAACTGTTTTGACTTTCACCTTCAAATTAGAGCAAAAAAGCAATAACTATGAAAAAACTGATTAACATAAATAACTCCTCACAGGCTAAGAAGTCACTCTACTATTAAATAAAATAAGCATAATATTACCCTGATCATTCCTTACTTCTTTTCTTTATATAAAGTATATGAAAAGTGCTGTACACACATATATACGTAATGGCTTTGAGGACATGAAAACAAGACAAATTCCCTGTTTGTACACTTAGCCAATAAAAGCTCATTCTGATTCTTATCTTTTTGGATCCTGGTTAACTTTTACTGTTCATCTTTGAACTGAAACAATTAATCATATTAATTGTGATTAATCGATAATTTAAATAATCATAAGTAATGAAGTAATCGATTAATCGCTTACAGGAGTATAAAGATTCTAAAACAATATGTCAATATGTCCTATTCGGAATTCCTCAAGTGGAAAAGCTTTAGTTTAATAAATAATAAAAAATCTTCTTTATTAATCAATTAGCCAAAAAAAATAATCGACAGATTGGAAAGATTTTGTTCTCCTTTCTCGTTTTTGTTCTCTTTTGTTCTCTAGAAACAAGCATCTCGGCTTCTAAAACTTTGCCTTTTTTAGAAAGTATCGTCTGATGGATCATACTGTTTTTTAATTAAAAGAATCAATAAATTATTATTTCTAACACACCATTGACCCTTAGGCATGTTCCAACCCAAGATTGTAAGTGCTTCTCTCCTGTCAATGCAACACAAGACTTCTACTTTAATCAAGGTGAAAATTGAAAAAATTAGAAAGGGGGAGGCCTGACACAAACTGTGAGAGGGTCCAAACATCCAATCAAAGAGCAACAGCACAGCAGGAAAAAGAATGAAGCACTGAAGGCAGTGTGGAGTGATGAAGGGAACAAAAGGAAAGGTAAGAAGGGTAAAAAGGACATAGTGATTGATGCACAGTTTATTCCACATGGATGAAAAAGAGTAAAACTGTAGAAGAAAAGAGGTTGAGGTACAGGGAAGAGGGAATAATGAGGAAAGGAAAGGAAAGGAAAGGAAAGGAAAGTTTTTATTTTTTCGAGGTCACAGACCAGTAACACATTCATGTGCTTGTCTATTCGACCCACAGTTTTTCTGACATAAAGATGTTGTTCATTTTCACCTAAGCGTCACTATGACAGAAGCTTGTTAGTGTATGTTTACGTGGGAGGGGATTTCAGTATGTAACTTTTCATGATAATTAATCACATCTAAATTTTAACATTTTCTGAGTCTCATGTTTGAATAACAAACCAAAGTATTTTATTTGTAGTTAGCTTTCAATTTTTTTTCCAAGTTTGCCTCTATAACAGAATATAATATCTTTAGTATGTGTTGGTACGTTAGATGTATAAGAAAGAATAAAGAAGGAATATATTGAAGTTTAAGTGTTTTAGTTACATTAAACTTTTATTTGAAGAGATCTAGTCTATATTTCTTTTAAAAAAATCTTCAAATATAAAATAAATCAATATTTTGTGCAAAAACTTTAGTCATTTTTCTAAAGTCATGAAACCACATTCCTTTTATTTTATCTAAAAACTTTATTTTCACTCCCCAAAGACTGTGAAAAAAGAACAAAATCTTTCCAAATAAAATAAACCGAGGACACTTATTCACTCATAAGTTAACATTCATCTTATTTTCTAACTTCAGCAGCACACACAAAATAACCACACTGCTCTAGCGAGAGAAATTAATCCAATTTAATCAAACATGTTACAAAAACAAAACCAAAAAAAATTTCTTCTGCAGGGTATTTTATCAGAGAAACTTTATATCCCAAATGAAATTCATCTTGGTTACAGACTCTGGCTGCTGCATAGTCCAAACCATGGCTCTTACTTTATACTCACACAAAAACACAACTATAATAACTCCATTAAAATAATGTTTCTATAATAAATCCATTATAAGAAAACTGAATACATGAAAAAAGCATGACCATTTAGTTACGATTACCTACTACCAAAATATCCTGTTAGATACTGTTTGATACTATAAGACGTCGACCTAAAGAAGGAGACTGATACTCTGAAAAAAGAAGATTTTCTGAGCATGCCTTGTTTCATATGGAGTAAAGGTAGTAAAGAATTTTTTTATTAAATTAAAGGAAAAAAAAGTGATTTGAAAGAGGAAAATAATTTTGAAAGTAAAATAAATAAAGTAAAGTAAAGTAAAATTTTTCACACTGCTACAAAAAAAAGTACAGTGGGCGCTGGTTGGAAATGGACACTTCACTCACGCTCCCCGTGTTTCACAAATTGCGTGAAACACGCAATGTTATGTTATTTGAGACTGCTGAAAAGGATTTGAGAGACAGTATCTTTTCATGGAATAAATATATAAGTTGACATTTGGAAAATGATTTCCGAGGGGAAATCGCTCTCTCAAAGTTAGAATGTTTAATTTTACCCTCAAAATTATTTTCCACTTTCAGATTGTGTTTTTCTTTTTTATTTAATAAAAATACTAAAATAACTCTTCAGCTTCATTGATAATGGTCAGAATTAAGGGATGCTGCTTGACTTCCATTAACTTATTAAACCTTATGCCAAGATTGTAAATATGCTATATTATCAGTGGGTTACTGTAATGATTTTATTTTACTTTTTGCTAAAGAACAACTTTGGATAGCGTTTATGCCAGAACAAACTCTTAAATTAAGGAGTTTGACATAATTATTCAAATAGACAATATTTTATGCTTATAATATTTCTAGCATTCATTGTGTTTTCTGAATCCAATAAAATGTAAATAAAATCCACAGTAGGTTTACTGGTCCTTACACAGCAGTATCTTCACCGCCCAACCATAAGGCGCCTAAAGACCTTCCACCATTTCTGCTGAAGTTCTTGTAAGCAAAGAATGTCCAGCTGCTACTGCTATCATTTATGTTATTTTAATAACGTAAATATGTCATCTAATGTTTTGTAATTTTGCATATGTCCATGTATTAAAATGGCTAGGGTCTTGAGTCAAATGATGCATTCCAAAAACAAAAATACACATGCACAACCATGTTCCCACTCCTGAGAGGGAATGCGTGTGAGAGCGTGCACAAGCTAATTTCTCCTCGTGCACGCTCTTTTTAAAAGTTGCTGTTTGCATCCCTTATACAAGCTTACTTTACAAAAGAAGATAGATGATTTTTTCCACTATGTCAGACTCACCTACCGGTAAGTGAAAATGGGGACAAACACGTAGGACATTTATGTAGCTATATCACCAGAATGATTGACAATTAGAAGGACCATTTATTTAGATGATCCACCCGGAAAAAAAAAAACATCCTCCACTATACCTTCAATTATTGCTTCTGCAGTCCCCCCAAAAATGAATTATCCACACTAGAAAACAGCAGACGTTCCCATTCAGTAATTCTTAAAAAAAAAAAAAACAGTAAAAAATAATAATTGTAATAATAAAGCTTTGCTGCTGTTTTCTTCTACTTCTGACCTGATCTTTGTTTTCTTCATCTGCTGTGTTTGGCGCCACACTCTGATTGAGTTTATAACATCCCCTGATAGAGCTGACAGGCACACACACCATCAGTAATGCTTTAACCATCAAGACATAAAGTCAAGGTTTGCGTCTCTATTGTTCAAAACTTCTATTATTTTGTTATGTTAAGCTGAAACAAAACCACTAAAGACTGATCTTTCATTTGCTTTACTCTTTGAGACTGCCCTTCCAACAGTGTGGGCTGAACTTGAAATATGTACCCCCCAATGCACAAGTGACAAGATGAGTGTTTTGACCTTATTCCTCCTTCTTTTCTTGATAAGTAATTTTGAAAAAATTCAAAAGGGTATAATAATGTTGATGTGGCTTCCTCCCCCAATCCAACAACCTGCATGTCTGCCTCTCCAAAATTGGAGGTCAGTTAACAAAACATTGAACTCTCAGAGGTCCTTTGTTTCAAGTGTTTATGGGTATGACTCTGAGTGCTTGTTTCTGTATTTCTCTGTGAAAGACAACACACCCTGAACAGGTTGACCAGGGTGCCTCACCTTTAACCTATTAACTGCTGCAGATAGACACAGCCCTACTTCAATAAGGCGGATATTAAAGACATTGGGATGGATAAACAGGACCAGTCTTTCCTTAACCATATTTATTCTTCTATTCTTCTGTTATAGGCTCCTTTTCAAACAGATATTAGACCTTTTAACCAATTATGGGTTGAAAACCTAATCCTGTTATGTTTGCAGGATCAAACCCAACCCAAAAGTCTTGCTGCTTTAGAAATGACTATTTGCTCATAGGAGGGATACAATTATAGACATACAACTCTATAATAACAAGGATTTTTTTTCTACCCAAAAATTTTAAGTTGTTAAAAAAAAATGACCTATGCATTTAAATGGATCTATTAATGTATGCTTTTTGTCACATTTTTATAGTAACATTTCATGTAACTTTTAATGTAGGCTTCAGTCTACATCTTATGCTTATGATTTCTGTGACAAGAAACTAAAATCAGCAGATATACTAAATAAACACATGCAAAAGCCCAGCAAAAATGTAAAAAGTCGAGCTTGATTTTTGTTTATGACAAAACAAACCAGCATAATAATAAGGCAGTATCATACTGTGGGCTATAAAGCATCGCTGCAGGTGATCAACCCTTATTATAACCTTCAACTAATCCAAAAAGAAAGAAGAGAAAGGGGTGGAGAAAAAGACGCGCTGTTTAAGCGAAAAGAAGGAGCAAGGTGTCTTACCGGAGGAAGGAGAGGTGATGGATGGATGAAGAAAGTACAGTCCTGTTGGTCTGAAGCGCCAAACTGCGCGCTCGGCTGCCCGATCAGTCACTTCTGATCGACTCTGACTCGATCAGCGCCTCCAGCCTGTAGGATCCTCAGCTGATGAGCCATCAGTCAGTCAGTCCGCCATCCCTCACGTATCCGGACACTCTGGGAGTCTGTTGGAGCCGAGGACTGCCGTGCGCTCTGCGCCGCACAGAGAGCAGCGTGGGCGCACTGCGCATGTCTGCCCTCCAGCCTTTACTAACTCGCTCAACAAACAGAAACAATTAAATATAGAATAATCAGAGTCAAGATACACACAGTTAAAGCCTCACGAACGTAAAGCTGATCAGTAGGGAAGGAAAAATCCATTTATTTATGCTGTGTGAACTAGAAGCCCTCTGTTTATTGCAAGGGCGTAGGTTTGATTTGAACTTTGGTAGGGACACTATTGGTCTGGTGTCATTGGTGCTGCAATATGCGTGCCCTTTTTTATGCTCGATGTGAGCATCCGTACTGATAAGAGGAATTCATTGTTAAAAGAGAAAAGCAACATTTTGCTACATTAATAAAAAATGTTATAAGCTCTACACTCATTAGATGCTGTTTATCAATGTTTGAAGCATCACCGGCTCTGAAGAATGTGGAATTAGGACTGTTTTCCACTTTGAAAACGGTTTGATTTGAACGACTAAGAGAGAAGGTAAATACAGTATTTTCTTTTGAAGATATAGAATTGTGCAGAGTTAAACCCCACTCTAATATTTGTAGCCTACCTACTATGCTCTCTCTGTATCAAGCAAAATAATACATTCATTAAAATATTAACCTCACTATAAAAGTTGAACATCTGGGCTGTAGTTATTCTGTGTAGCCCATTTCATGTATTTCATCTGGGGCTGAAAAAAAATGAATCATATTGATTATTTCAATAATCATCAACTAATTTAGTAGGTGATTCATCATTAACTGGAGTATAGAGAGACTTTAAAACATACAGTAATATAAATGTAAAATGTGTGTGGGAAACCACAGAGCAACCCACTTAGATAACTTATATCAAAATTGTAAAAATAAAAACAAAAAAATGAAAACAGTAATATCAACTAAATATCGGTAAAAAAGGAAACCCTCACATTTTCTTTCTTAATTGGCTGTTGCTAAGAATCAGAAATGTTGATGCTTACAGCCTTTATTTGCCCATTTTTCCAGCAGTCTTCAGAACTCCTGGCTGAATCAGAATATTTCGTTTTATAAAAAAAAAAAAAAAGGGTTTTGTTTTTTAGTGTACATGATATTCATTTTTTTTTATCGGGACTAGTTTTGTAGCCTAATATTAATTGTAGTAACCGCTGCATTCTAGTGTGAATAAATGTTCAACGTTGTGCTCCAAGCACACGCGGACTAGAAAACAGCCAATCAGAGGGAGAGAAGGCGGAACCTAAGGCAGAACAACCAATGAGAGTGGAGTTAAACAGCGCAGCACAGTTCCATGCGCTGCTGCGTGTAAGGGACAGGAGAGACCAGGCAGAGGAGCTGCGAGAGGAAAATAAGCCACTGCTGCAAGAACTACTGCTGTAAATTATAAACATGTTGCTCACATCCAATTATTGGTAGGGACAATTAGGACGGTTCAAAATTTTGGTAGGGACATGTCCCTATGGTCCCTATGCAAACATACGCCCATGGTTTATTGTAGAAACTGTAAATACTGGCATCAGTTAGCCTTCCACTGTGGTTCTTAACCATGGGCGGTTCTAGACAGGGGCCAACGGGGGCAAGTGCCCCTGTAACTCACCTGGCCCCTGTACTGAAAAAAATAATACTTAAAGAAATTCTTATGATGATCTGTGCTGGAACAGACATGGTTACTGATAGCTCCTTTGGATCTATTTTCCTTTTTTTCTTTACGAATTCTGTTTTACTTATAATTTTAAAAAACAATAAGGTGATAGCTTAAGTGGGATTGAGATAGGATCCCAGTTTTTATCTCCTAAATGTTTTTTTTTTTTTTTTTCAAAACTAATAGCTTTAATTTTTACGGGTTCATTTTTTTTTAGTTCTAATTCAGATTTTATAGAAAACCGTAATTTTATTTAAATTAAGTCAAAAATATTTGACATTTCTAAATTCTGAATGAATATTGACCTTACAAGACACAGAATTTCAATAAGATAGCTGCATTTTCATGCAGCTATCTTACCCTTTCCCTGTTTTTTTTTATTATTATTATTATTATTATTTCATGCTTTTCTGTGCCCCCATGAAAACACTCTGGCCCCCTCCTGGCCCCCTGGTACAATTGGTGTAGAACCACCACTGTTCTTACCCTGTCTTTGTTGTTTACTGTCAGCTCAGTTGTCCATAAGGTCCGGAGGAAGTATCATAATGAGGGATCTCTCCTAGTTCCTAAGTGGGTTTGCTGTTGGTCTCTGTGCCATTTCACTTAGACTGACCCTGATGTTATAAAGCCTGATGTGTAATCAGGCTTTATATGAGAATACAGAAGTAAATCTGCAGCTGCTGAAGCACTTAGTGGAAACAATAACCCTTGAACATCCCCATAAAGGCTCAGACCAGCTTCTGAACATTCGTTATAACTGAAAAATAAAATTATAGAATTAAGAGACAACACAAAATATCATTGCAAAAATATTGGATTTAATAGCAATATACTGTACAACCTCAGTTGTATGGCTTTTTTTGGTAAAATCTCGTTTTGTGTTTGGTTTGAGGTGAAATGCTAATCTGAATACAGAAAAAAAATTAGTCATATTAAAAGTGTAAAACTTCCTACAAAGGGACACAAAAGAAGAACTAATAAGAACATAACAGGAACTGCTAAACAGGAGGCTTAGAGTATAGTTTAAAAATAAAGTGATGCTATAAAAGTGAGCAAACTTTTTTTTTAAAGAATAATTAAGATTTTGACCTTTCTTTTTCTATCTTTACTCCTTTTATCACTAAACATGAAAGAAGTAAATGGAAACCCAGAGGTAAAACTTTAATCACTTTGACACAATCTGCAGAAAACATTTTTCACTTAAACATCGGTCGACCATCAGACCCAAAAGCTGTGAATGCTTGATGATATGATACTAATGCATAATCTATTGAAAGTATCCCTTACAGTAGAAAGCTCCCATTTCTCTGTAATAACAAGGAATCAGATAAATAAATGTGACTGAACATATGAGTGACAAGGTCATGCTTTAGAGGACATGTTTTTTGTTTTTGTTTTTGTTAGTTTTTTTGGTAAAGACTAAAATCCTGAAAGGGATTATTAATCTCCTGAATATTAAGTTTAGGATTTTGTAAAGAAAAACTTTCAGAGGAAAGACTTTTGCTTTGTAGAATACAGTAGTGTAAAATACAAGTGTCACTGTGGTGTGGATAACGCTTTGTAGTCTCAATGGTTTTGGTCATGAAATGTTTGGAACTTTAATTGAAATATAAGAGGAAGCAACTATTTGCAATAACCACCAATAATCAATTATCAAAATACTTGTCAAGTAATTTTAGTATCTGAACAATCATGAACTGGAGCATACCTTAAAACCTGTTCTCTAAAGAAAGAACAGCCCACTCAGAGCAGTTATTAAGCTAAAACTATAAAAACAAATGTATCCACTCGGCAGGATATACTGATACAGGAGATAAAAAACAAAATTTTTATCTGCAAATATACTCTACTCAAGAGGCATTTATGAGCATTGAGATTGTTCCTTTTTTACATTGTGCTCCAACACACACACACACACACACACGTACACACACATTTTTAAATGTAATGCATTTAAAATGTGCACAAAATTTTAGTTTTTTTCAAGTGTAAATATGTATTTATTAAGGTATGTTTATTAACTAAAGCCATCTGTTTTATTAATACTTTAAACAAAAATAATTGCTAGATGAATGTATTACTAAACTATTGATAGCTATTGATAACTTAGAAGCATTAGTACAAAACACTTCTTAGTTCATTTATCTGTGAAGATTACCCTGGTTTGTACAGGCAGGCCAACCGGATGATAGGAATAATTATTCATTACTTTAATAAATTCATGAGCAGCACAGTTATTATCATAAATCCTGATTTACCTCTGTATCTAAGGCCTTTGACATAGATTCTCGAAAATAGAAGTAAAATCATTTTTTATTTATGTTTTAGCTCTGTCTCAGTGACTGACGCGAACACAATTAGTCCAAGTGGATTCTGCTTAATCTGGATCACAGAGATAAAAATATGACGGAGTCGTCTGTAAAACTGAATCCATCAGTCCTCAAAAAACAGTCATTTTGAAATAAATTAGTCTGCCATCATTTTACATCGTGTTAGAACTGGTCATATACAACAGAAAAGGAGGATAATCCCACTTCAAGGTCATTTGGCTTGATGGATAAAGCAGAGTCTTCTACTGGACAACCTACAATCTTAGAACAACTGCTTGAACTTTACGTTGTTTTTTTAGATGATGGTTTTGTATTAACTATATGCATCTGAGAAGAAATATTTCACGTGTACTGTCCAGTCAAAAAAAAAAATAATCTGCATATGTGCTGCTCCAACCCTGATCTGTCTGGCAGGGCTGTACTCCTGCACGCATCAACACCATTTCTGGTTCTCAAAGGAAAAACATAATTTGCAAATGTGTGTGGAATGACTACTAATGAGAGAGCATGCCAGGTTTTACATATGGCTTCAATTCACCCATAACTCATCGAACATGGGCTTTTTAAGAGAAGGCAGTATATATTGAATACATTATCGATCAAAAATACTATAGATAAATAGTTTGGTTTGAGCTCTCTGGATTTTAAGGTGGATGGTTTTAGGATTTCTCTGTTATTTCTGTGTAAACAGAGCACAGATTCCTCAGTTTTCAGTAGCCGTAAGAAAGCTGGATGGCGGACAGGCTCAACATATCACACTTAGGTGCTTAGAAAATAGTTTTCCTCATTTTTGTGCGTTTAAGATACATCTCTGCTTCAACACAACTGAGTCAAACATTCATCTCATTAGCAGGACTCTGGAGATCCAATGCATACTGAGGTGGTTATTCAGCCTTTATTTCATGTGTGTAGAGGCAGAGTCACATCTAAAAGAGGACAGCAATGAAGGAACCATGTTATAGAAGTCTTCTCTTTATTACAACAAGTTCATAATCCTCTTTCAGCTGTTCTTTGACATTTTTTTTCTTCCTAAACAAAAGCATAACATATACTAGCCTTCATTTGTTTGTATGTGTAAGTAAAGAACGGCTTTAAGTGATATAATTTTGGTGAGGGGGCTGTCTGATTACAC